CCTCCTCCTTTTGATCAGCCTTTATGCTTAAGCTATCTTCCGATCTGCGGCTCATGGTATTACTTTATATCCAGGATATAATCTTCTAATAATCCAATTCTTTGTCTATGACCTGAACTCAATTCTTTCTTTTAACTTATATCAGAGTCTTCTACGGTTGTATGATTGTCAACATATATGTATACTCCAAAATTGCAAGTGCATTCATAACATAACCAATTCCAGATCATTGATCGTATAGTTCGTTCTCAACTTTCTTTAAACGTAAGTTATTACTTTTCCTGGTCTTCTGCCTCCTTGTTGCATGCATACTTAGCTTATCTTAGTTACCACGCATGCCAGAATTTTCGTGCAACTTCATATGATCTCGAGTATTGCTTTTGATCTTACTTCCCATTCATTAGCCATGGTAGGTGCCACTTTCTTATGGAGTGCATACATGTCGTAGTGAGATTATTGCTACAAGACCATTTCCTCTTTAGGTCACTGTGCTTAGGTTGAAGCCTTCTTCGTTATTTCCTCAGCTAGTCTTTCGTTGTAGTACTTAGGGAGAACCCTCTGACTCTTGTAAAGATGCGAGCTTATAACATCGAATACCCGATAGAATTTTTGACGTTCTTCCTCGCCTCTAATTATCCGTAGTTACTTACCTCCACGCCCTTGTGCTGGTAGGGTTGCTTTTGAACTAATATTTTGACTGTCTACCGAGTGACATTCTCTTTTATATCTGTAATACTCATATGGTACCTTTTACTATCCCAACTCCTACCTGAATATTTCTTAAGGATCACGATGTCATAGCTGCGAGGCTGAATTCACTATATTAGGTTTTACTATATTTATCTTACACGATCTGCTTGACTCGTCTGTAACCTCCTTTTTAGCCATAACTAGGCTATTCCTGATCAATTACTAACTACTCGTTGGCCCATTCTCATCTAAACATTCCGCGTAATCTTTCTTGGGTTATTTCCTTTGTCTTAACTAACGTCTCGCACTGGCTCCTTATTTATTAATAACAGCTCGGGCTGGAACCTTTACTTCCTCTCCTTGACGTTGTGCTTACACTTGAATCGTAGCATATCTGTAGGATTTGGATAAGTGCCATCTCTTTCCTTTTTTATTTTTTTATCGCATTCTTGCTTTATCATTCCATAGTCATTAAAACCACTTAATTCCGACTTAATGCCACATCACTCCTTATTCCCCCCCCCCCTAGGGAAGTACTAATATTTAGCGCTACAACGATTTACCTATAGATATTTTACCTTCTCATCATTGGCTTCCTCTCGCATTATCGATGACCCTTACTCGCCTTGCGTTAATCCTTTTGTTCCAAGGATAACGAAATCCCTTACTCATGAGGGTGGCACTTAGTGTAACCGGCACACATAGTCTCTTACGCTTACCTTTGCTAACATTGCTTGCGTTAGGGAAGCGCCTTCCTGAATGATCATTCTCTGAATTTCTCATGAATCTTCTCCTGTTGTCAATTTTATTACCGCCGGAATGAAATCTAAAATTCTCATGATGTCACGTATTATCCAATCACTCAGTCCCTAATTCACGTTTAGTTTATCTTGTTCACCAGCCCATACTGATTTCTATTACTCTAGGGTCTAACTTTTCCTTCTCGCAGTTGCATTGGGGTTACGAACTTATTTCTTGAAATTAGGATATGACTTTATGGCCTATACTCTTTTGTTGTCTCAAGGCCTGTCGCCTTTCGTCTTTCCCTTAACTTGACTGTAGACTCTGTAATACGGCCATCATTTTCATTTTTCTTTTTCTACCGTTGCCATCCAGGTATCACATCTTATTTATAATGCTTCACTAACTCTTTTCTTATTTCCCGCTAACATCTATGTCTATCACTTTATCCTGAAAACTCGAACAAGAAATTCTTTTGCTTTTAGCTCCCCTTGTTCGATCCATTGGCTTTTCGAATTGCCTAACATTCTTTCTCTACTAGGGGCGGAAGCCACACTAAGATAATATTTGTCCTTTCAAGTCTTTCAGTGCCTATCATTGTAGTACTCATATCTGGTTGTACTATTTTAGAGTGCACCATCTGGGTGTCTCACAAGGAGATCGATTGGTACATTTGCAATGTCCTTCCGAAATGTCAACTAACGTAAACCATCCATCCATCATATGGGGTTAGTCTAACCCTAGTCGGATCCTACTATCATGTCTTTATCTTAAACCATATCCGTTAGCTCTGATAGGGCATGACTGAGATAGGTGTGGCCGATTTCACGTACATCTTTTACTGTTGAAGGTAACTCAAATTGCTTATATCTCCCTTCCTGAATGGTAAATAATGATAATCTTTATTAACTGGGTACCTCGTACCCTTCTTCACCTTGCTTCTTTTACTTGCTGAAACTTTTGTCTAACTTCAGATTCCGTTATTCCTTTTTATCGTAAAGGGGGATAAGCATTCTTGTCTTAGGGATTTTTATCAATAAGCTTGCATGTCTTAATATCCTCATGTTCTGTTGGAGACCTTACATTCATCATAATCATGATGCAAAATCGAGTTCCTCTGTCTCAATTCTTCCATAGCCATATTAAATCCCTTACCAAGTGTCTTTCTAGATGTAGGCATCATCGTATTGTGAATAAGATAGAATTTAGGAAATTGAGTTCTTACAACCGAGCTCTACCACACGATCTAGACTAAGAAGAAAGAGTGATAGTCTTAAATGCCCTGGAGCCTCCTACTTATAAGTGTGGTGCACGACACACCCATAAACAAGACTCTACTAGACACGGCTTGTAGACTCCCTAGGTCAGAACTGCTCAGATACCACTTTTGTCATGACCCAAACCGATAAGCCACGACTGGCACCCGATACCTTACTCAACCGAGTGCCAACATAACATATCTTTTCGTATCATGATATCAAAAGTAAATGAGACAGAAAGGTCGCCGTAGGATAACTAGAATGAAACATGTAATACTAACTTATATATAAGACATGCGGGCCTATAAGACCAAAATGATCACTCGTATACTAAACGTAGGCCGACAAGGCCATAGAATCTTTTACGTACATGACATATGTCTACAAGCCTCTAAGAATACATAATATCATAAAGGTCGGGATATGGTCCCGCCATTCCAATCAATACATGTACTAATCAGACTGACCAAAGAAGCAAATCCGGAGCAAATGGAGCGCACCAATACCTTCCGCTGAGCTGATAGCCTACTTGGAGGACTCTCAACCTGTCTATACGAACCTGCAGACATGAAACGTAGGGTCCCCAGGCAAAAGGGACGTCAGTACAAATAATGTACCGAGTATGTAAGGCACATAAATAAGTACATAACAGACATGGGAGAAACATAGAGTAAATGATTCAACCTGTAAGTCGGGATAACTCTGTAAATCATGAAATAATTATAGTGTCATGCATATGCGTATGAATGTCAAGTCGTGCATAGGTACATGTTTCATAACATCATCAGGCCTCTAAGGGCATCCCATCATATCATCTCGGCCACTATGGGAAAAATCATCAACATATAACAGCTGATCAGGTGGTGCATATATAATGCCATAACCTTTCCCATATCCCATATACATATATATACGCGTATATATTGCCGTTTGATCATGGCTCAATATGAATGTATAAATGTATGAAATACATATACGATATGTTAATAATAAAATCTCGCGGTATGTCATAAGACTATTATGCCTCCGATTAATACCATGAAATAAATTTATCAACTTACGTACTTTCTAAGACCCATGAACAGATGATAGAATAATATGACACATGCGGAATCAAGAACATAAGCATCTCTAATATTTCTACGAATAGAGTCATTTATGAAAATTGCGCATTTGCTCATTTCGTTTGTGTCGAATAGATCATGCCAAAAGAAAAAAGGGATAGCCTTAACATACCTGGACCAATTCTCTTGACAGACCTCTAACACACGTCTTTTACGAAGAACACATAACGGCAGATCGAAGTAGAAAAACATCTGTATGATATTTTAAAAAAAGATTGTACAGTGCTCCCTCCGAATTGCGTCTCACACTAAAAGAACGTCTTTGTAGGACGTCATTGGCAATGGAAGAAAGATGATTCTTTTCCATGTTTAAGGATAGACTACGATCTCTTTCCCTATTTCTTTTACGAAAAATTCAGATTTTGGTCATGTACATATTTTTATAATGTTTAATTTGATCAGTTCCAGAAAGTCACTTCTTTAGGACAAAAATAGTTCACGAAATGGTGATGAATGATTCTTATGCATGAGTTGGATAACGTTGATGGTCTTCTATAATTCACATTCCCAAAGAAGACCCTTACGGGGCAATTTAAATCTTTTGACTCATCATGCATATTGGTGACACTTGGCTTGGCTTAATGTCATGTGGCAGCCCCAAAAATATCCTTATCCACATAATTATGAATTATCTCAAATTACTTAAAATACTATTCACTTTTAACATACTTTATACACTATACTATCATGATCATACGGTACCTTCTATGACACTAGTTTATAAACATCGGGTAATTTAGCTCATGCGGTACCAACATGTCAAATTTTGACGAAAATTCATTTTCTTTGATTTGCTTACTCTCTCACCTTCACGAATTTACTCATTGTTTGTTTGAAATATATAATTCTTATAATCTCAAAACAATCTCATTCCCGAACTTACGTCGATTAGCTTACGACGAAACTTTAACGTACGAAAATGCGGAACGTAACATCTCATTTCCGAGATTATATCAATTTACATATGGCGTACTTCCAGATACTAGAACATGGGGTGTAACACCTTTCTCTATCAACTTTGATTCTACCACAGGGATCATGGACAAATCCTCATAATGCTTATTTAGGTTAAGCGTCTTGTATACATTAAATGTGATTTCTTTATCATGCACTCTCATCTTTAGTTTACCCTCCCTCACATTAATAAGTGCTCCACCAGTAGTCAGGATTGGTTGCCCCAAAATAATTAGAACCTCCTCATCGGCCATGTAGTCAAGAATAATAAAATCAGCGGAAAAGATGCACTACCCCACTCGACTAGTACATCTTCAATAATTCCTTTAGGCACTGCTAATGACCGGGCTGCTAGCTGTAGAGTTATAGTAGTAGGCTTGGGGGCTGCAAGATCGAGCTGCTTGAACACTGATAGTGGCATCAAACTAATGTTCGCTCCCATATCGCATAAGGCTCTATCAACCTCGTATTTTCCAATTGACAAGGGGATTGTAAAACAATCGGGATCCTTCAACTTATGCGGGAGCTTACTCTGTACTCTAGCAGTGTACTCCTCAGTAAGTGCAACCGTTTCAAATTGTGTCAACCTTCTTTTATTAGCCACGATGTCTCTCAGGTACTTGGCATATTTAGGAACTTCTTGCAACACTTCTATTAAAGGTAGATTCACCGCACCTGGCTCAAGAAACATAAGAACTTTTTATACTTAGACCCATCTTTTGACTTTTGCAACATTTGAGGAAAAGGCAGTGGTGGCCTTACCTCTATCTCCTGCCTATGTTTATTTATCTTTCTTTTTAGCTTCTACCTCTGGTTGAGGTACCAATCTTTCAAAAACTTCTTTAGACACATACTTTTTAGGTGGCACCTCCTCCAATGCTTTCCCACTTCTTAGATTAATTGCTTGCACCTGTTCAATGGGATTCTTCTCAATATCATTTGGGAGTGCCCCATTAGGTCTAGCATTCTGAGTGGAGGCAACATGCCCAACTTCCCTTTCCAAATTATTAAATTCTGTCGTAAGTTGCTGATTATCAAGGCGGAGTTGTTGATTATCAAGCAAGAGCTTCTTTAACAACTCATTAATAGTATCCTCTGCATGTTGTGGTGGAGTCTGTGGTACGTTGAAATTTCCTTGAGGTCTGTTACTATTCTGATTACCGCCCCAAGAGAAGTTGGGATGGTTTCTCCAGTTTGGATTGTAAGTGTTCCCATACTGAGTATTCTGGTTCATCGGACCCCTGTTGTGCTGCCCTACATAATAAATGGATTCAGGATTCAACGGACAATGGTTACATGTGTGTGGCTTTCTCCACACATCTCACAACATGTAGACATTATTTGCACCTGCTGCATCTGTTGCGCTTGTTGCATTGTCATCTTATTTACCTGATTGGCTAACTTAACTATATCTGCTCTTATGGCTGAGTTATCATCAACCTCGATAACACCTACTGCCTTCTGTTTCAGTGTTCTCCGTGGTTCCCCGCCTCCTTGCCAATTGTTATCGTTAGCCATGAAAATTGTTTAACAAGATTTAGATTTCAGTGAATGGCCTAGCCATGTAACTACCTCCACAGGCTGAATCAAGATTCATCTTCGATGCTTTGTCTAATCCAACAACAAAAGTATGTCCCAGGACTTCATCAGTATGATAGTGATGTGGGAAATCTTTGAGTAGCTTTTTAATCTCTCCTAGGCTTGTGTAGAGTCTCACCATCATTTTCTTGAAACCCAGAATTTGGCCTCACGGTGACTTTATTTTCTTTGTGGGAAAGAATTTGTCACAATCCTAAAACCGACCCGGTCGTGATAGCGCCTATCATGAAACTAGGCTAGCCGACACGATTCCCAAATCAAACCATTATTCTATAAAAGCCATTTTTAAGCCATTAATTAATAAGAAATCTCATAGTATAAGTCTAAATAACCAGTGCGGAATAAATACACAAGCCCGACATCGGGATGTCACAAGTCACGAGCATCTACTAAGGTCTGAATATAACGAAGAGTCTGAAAATATACTAAAAACAGTCTAAGGAAGACAAGAGGGAGAAGAGCAGGGCTGCGAACGTCGGGCAGCTACCTTACTAACTCCGATGACTCTACCACTAAGCAATCAACACCTGCAACCGGGTTCAGAAATACCTGAATCTGCACACAGGGTGCAGGGATTAATGTGAGTACGCCAACTCAGCAAGTAATAAAAGTAAAGGATCCTGAGTAGTAAGAAAACACGTAAACCACAACATAACGCTACAACAAAACACTATAAGTCCAAAACAATGCATGAAAGCAATAACACTCGTAAAAAGACATCTCAGTTCAGTAAAACCTTTTTAAAACAGTTTTCAATAGTTTCAAGTGAGTGATGAAAACAGTGAGAAAAGAATAGAAATGTAAACAGCCCCTCGAGCAAAACATACCACAACCGCCCCTCGGGCAAAATATCAATAGAACTAGCCCCTTGGGCTATCTCACAATCACTCGTATCAGCCCCTCAGGCAATATCACATTTCACACTGGGTACCCGCGCTCACTGAGGGTGTGCAGACTCCTGGAGGGGCTCCTACAGCCCAAGCCCCATAATAAGCCATCTCGTGGCATAATCAAACAGGCCCTCGGCCTCATAAAAAGCCACCTCGTTGCGTAACAAATCAGGCCCTTGACTTCATAATCATGAATCAGTACAACACTGCTGCGCTGCAGCCCGTTCCCATAATATCCTCACAACACAGGCCCTCTGCCTCACTCAGTCAGAAATCTCTCAGACCCCTCGGGCAGCAGTAAAACGTGATGCTTAGCCCAAAATATCATTTAAAAATGTCAAAACGGAGTAAATATGGCTGAGTTATAAAAACAGTAAAATACAGCATGACTGAGTACAAATATGAAATCAAAACAGTGAGGAATAGTAGTAAAAATCCCCTAAGGGTCCAAAATAGTTGGCACGGGGCCCAAATATGGCATTCAGCCCAAAACATGATAATACTTTCCATAACACAATGATATCAAACAAGTTTTAATCAAATACGTGACTTAACAGTCATACGGGACGGACTAAGTCACAATCTCCAACGGTGCACGATCCCACGCTCGTCATCTAGCATGTGTATCACCTCAAAGTAGCACAACAATGTGAAATCTGGGGTTTCATATCCTCAGGACAGCATTTACAATCATTACTTACCTTTATCCACTCCAAACTTTAGCCCGCGGTGCCTTTGCCTCTCGGCTCAGCCTCCAGATGCTCCAAATCTAACCAAAAACAGATTTATACCATCAAAATATGCTAAGGGAACAAAGCCCACACGAAAATAATCAAATTACATCAAAAATCCTGAAATTGGTCAAACCCGACATCCGGGACCACATCTAGAAATCCAGCCAAAGTCTAAAAATCCGACAACCCATTCAATTACGAGACTACCCATACTAGTTTCACTCAATTTCGACTCCGAATCAGCTTTCAAATCCCAAAAAGTCATTTTATGAAGTTCCACCATTTTTCCCAAAATCCCAAATCTCTACTCAAATGATGAATCCAACGTTAGAATATTGTATTTTAGCCAAAATGAGTTAGAATCACTTACCCCGATGGGTTTTCTTGAAAATCCCTCGAATAATCGCCAAAGCCCGAGCTCTCTAGGTCAAAATATGAAATAAACCCCAAATCTCATATTTATAGTGCACCTCTCGGATTCTCGTCACCGCTGACCGCGTTAAAACCACCGTTGTCGCGCTTCGGTGGCTGCACGGACAGGCCTTAGTATTTTGGCCATTACTTTCTCTACAGATGTTCAAATTATAATTTCTTTACCTTTCTGGAAACTACAAAGGGCTACAACTTTAATTTTTGAATCATCTCAAAATTCCTTGTATATCAAAAGATATAGGCTTCCAAAGTTGGACCAGCGGCCCTACGGATTGGCCGCGGCCGCGGACCATTTTCCGCCCCAGCGGTAAATTTAAGCACCAGAACCATTGCCTCAGTTTCGGTAATGCCCGGACTCGCTCAAAACTCACCCGAAACACATCTGAGGCCCTCGGGGCCTCAACCCAAACATACCAAAACCTCCCATAACATCATTAAAACTTAGTCGAGCGTTCGAATCACTAAAAACAACACCATAACACCAAATCAACTTCAGATTCAAGCTTAAGAACTTAGGAACTTTCGAATTCCATAAACGATGCCGAAACCTATCAATTCAACTCCGAATGACCTGAAATTTTGCACACACGTCACAAATAACACTACGGACCTACTCCAATTTCCGGAATTCCATTCCGACCCCGATATCAAGATTTGCACTACCGACCAGAAAGCGCCAAAATTCCAATTTTGCCAATTCAAGCCTAAATCTACCACGGGCCTCCAAATTACATTCCGAACACGCTCCTAAGTCCCAAATCACCCAACAGAGCTAATCCAATCATAAAAATTCAAATCCGAGATCGAGTACTAATAGTCAAAGACTTGGTCAAACCTCTCAAGTTTTAAGCCTTAAGCTGAGAACCATTATTCCATATATGTTCTGTTCCTCCTGAAAACCAAAATTGACGATTTACATAAGTAATAATACATCATACGAGGCTAGTCATGCCTGAGAACCGACGAGTGGGAAGGTAGAACTAGCATACAGTTACAGTTTTCCCTCTAGTAGGGACCTACAGTTATATTTGACTTTTTCTGCGAAGGGGTCCACACAGTGATACAGATTACATGATCCTTTCTTGGACCTCCCATACATAAAGATTTGCTATGAGACAGTGTTTACCGAGTTTATTACTAATTTGTCAAAATTGATGTTTATTACAGGAAACACATGAACAGTCTGATTATATTTACCGTTTTAGGAATGGCATTTATGATATTTTCTATTTGATATACTAGCATGTTTTCTGACTTGTCCCTAATAAAAATGATTGTGGCTAAGTATTATTACTCATTGAGCTAGCGTCTCACTCCCCACTATTTTTTTATAGAGACAACAATTGACATAGGGGAGGATTTTGTTAATTAAAGCGCACATGTTGATAGTTCTTGGTGAGCCCCGCACTTATTCGCATGGGCGAAGATTTTATTTATTGTTATGGTTTTTTCTTGAACTCTTAAAGTCGCTCCACACCATTCTTTTGGTGTCATGAATATTCTTTCGTTATTATAGACTTATGTTGAGCATTGCACTTCTTATCGAATATGGAGATAAATTAGTATTTCTGGTTGTTAGTGGGTGGATTGTTAATTGTTGAGACTTGTTTTGGGTTAACTGATGAAGTTATTGTTGTTTGGATTGATATTAAGATGTTTGGTTGTTGATTTTGAGACAAGAAAGTTTTTGGATAGTCCAAAAATAGGGAAAACTCTGTCCGATTTTCTGTAAAATACTGACGAGACTTACTTGGGGGCACTTACTCCTAAGTGCCGGTCGTGATCCTAAATTGGATCGTGACAAAGATGGTATCAGAGCCTCTTGTGTCAGCCTTGCCGATGGTGGGTCAAAGTTCAACTGAGTTTAGGCAAATCCTGGTTAGGCGGGGCAAACCTTAATGGTGAGTCTAGGCAGATCCCATGCGGTGGGGCAAACCTCAGTAAGTCCATAGAGGGGATGTATGTAACACCCCAAGACTTTAGACAAAGTCCCACATCGGAAAAACACAAGAGGGATGCTAGGTATATAAGTTAAC